CAAAAGCTAAAGCGGTACTGTGAGAGTCTCAAACGGTGTGGTTGTCCTATGACGCGATGTGTCTCTGAACTCGACACAAGGCGAGGAAAGGGAAAAAGAGAGGCAAGGGGAACTGCTGTATAGCTAATAAGGTACACACATACACATGTGCGTGACTGCGAAGCTGTCTCCTTCATAGACTACAAACGGAATCACCAGGAGAAAGTTCGGGCGTCTTGCCTCCATACGAGCAATGGTTTTGTTCATCCTGAAATGTGGTCTGAAGCTCATGAAATTCTCGGGGTGGTGTGGTACCCATCTTCAACCAGCCATGATCAGGCTGGACTGCGTAGTTGAGGATGACAACTTCGTTTTACATATCGCTCGCAGTGCAAGTGTTGTGTCCGTCTCCAATCTACTGAATATAACGATGCATCATATTGACATCAAACTCTATGCAGCTGTGTTTGCTCCGGCGGCAATCAGGGACTGGTAATCTCACTTCCTTGTAGTTGGTATCGGTTTTATTTTAGCTGAATGGCAATGGTCATCAGGTTGTCTTGCTCATATCTTTAGTGGTCAGCCTTGTCAAGAATGAGAGCGCTGACACAGTGGCACCTTGCTTTGAAGCAATAAAGGAGCTCATCGAGCTTCGATTCGTTTTTGAAAGGAGGATGGTGAGGAGAGCCGAGGCTCAATAATGGCACGAAGGCTCTCATCTCTAAACTACTATGTCGGTTGTATGATTGCTGTTCCGCAACAACACGCACTTTGGCGTTGTGCATTCGTGCGTGGCGAATTATTTTGACTGAACTACCGACCCTCCGAGGGCGTCAGACGAATCGAATGAGTCTTCCACTTATGCTCCGAGGCTTGCAGAGAAAATCGAAAAACTCGAGTACGTCTACAGCTTTAAGAGATATCTGCGAAGACAACTTTTGACGGATATGTGCCAAACCCGTAGATCGAACCGGAGACTAACTCAAGGTGAGAGGTTCGTGCGATTCGAGATCTATGACTTTTGACCATAACACTTCCACAGCGATCATCACAATTTCAATTTTCCAACATTTCAATCAGAAAATGTGGACTAATCAAGCTCTTCGCCTTCGTCACGAAAGCCTATAGTATAACCCAACCTCGGAAAGCCAATATATCTTAGGCCAGCCTTCTCTGCCCTCTCAAATTGGCCACGGGGACCCCATTGTAATACCGGTCAGGGGGGGAAAGGACCATAATGCCAACCAGTAAAAGGTGTGTCATACTCGATGCAGCAGCCGAACAGCTACAGGTCAGCAACATCACTGAAGTAGGAGATAATCTTACCCAGCGTCAACACCACGGGTCGTATAGGGAGAAATGCGCCAGGTGAGAAATGCGTGGGTGCCCTCGGAGTACACGGACTCCAACCAGGAGCTACAGAATCTTCTGCCTGCTCAGAATCTTCTGCCTGCTCTGGACTAGAAGCTGACACATCAGCACGAGTGCGATCAGACAAAGTCGAGCCACCAATACGAGCAGAGACTACAGGAGTGTCTGTCGCAGCCGACGGAGGGGGGGGGGGGTTCAGGGGTAGTAGGGATCTCGTCAGGAACCACGAGATCAATAGAAAACCCGGCAGTCCCTCCTTCTACTTGTACATCAGGGGCAAGTGTTGGATGATCCAACTTGGATGAGAACCATATCCAACTCAGACCTGGTTCTCCAGTCCACGGTGACCGACCTCTTATCGGTACCAGAAGATGTTGTTATCGAGCTCGACAAAACTAACTGAGCCACGTTCCTAGAAGTCTAGACAGATCGGGACATTCGAGACCAACCAGAATCAGAACTTAAAGATGATGTCTCCCCAGAGTCAACCTAAGTTGGCGAGCCAAAAAGCAGTTGCTGACGCCGACTGGTGTCAACACAGAAAAGTCACTAAACTTGACTAAGTCACCGAGTGACCTAACAAGGACTGTTTGCGTTGAGATAATAGATCGAAGCACGAGACTTGGCTAAACCTAGCTGAGCCAACACGTCCTTGAACAGCTGCGACCCGAACGCACTTCCCTGGTCTGAGATAGCCCTAGCCGGAGGTCGATGAACCGCAATGAGATACAGTGGAGCCCTCAGTCCTTCGGCAACGCTCTTACCTGCCACCGGAACCGCTTCAACTTACCTCGTGATGTGATCTACCACCACCAATAGCTTGGGTAGTATCTGGATTAAACCCGGCACTCAGCAGAAGCGGTGAATCCAAATTGGATACACCTCCTTCGAGACGCGCTTCTGCTAGTCACCGCTATAAACTCGATAGCCACTGTATGCCAAGGAGACTCAATCGCGTATGGAATATAGGGCAGATGGGGTAGGAAGACGGTCTCATGGGCGCACAGCCTTCACAGTGCAGCAAGAACTCACTAATATCCTAATAGGGCATTCCTCACTCATAGCTGGTCAGCAACCTGTACGTCTCAACCTTGCCACCATGTGCTCTCGTCGAAAGTGACCCGCTTCCTCATGGAACCGATTCAGTGCTTGCCGCCAGAGACCTCCCAGAACCACCGGAACAAACTTCGACGTCGGCTCTTCATTAATCTGCTCCCTCCGTACCAACAGACCGAAACCGTGAACACGTCGGGTTAGACAATTTGTCCGATACTACCGAGACTCTGGCTCCTCGAGCTCATCCTTCGCTAAAGGCTCTCCTATCCGGCCCGTGTCCCTCACTACCCGAAGGATGGGATCCGACTCTTGCTCACGTCCCAAGTCAGTCGCTGACCAGTGTTTCTACAGGATGAGGACACGAACAAGAGCAAGATTA